TCCGGCATGAAATGGGCTGGCAATTCGAAAATTGCCGTACCGTAGAGGGAGAGGCCGGAAGCATAGTTAAAGGAGAGCGGAGGTCAGACGAATCGAAGGAGTCAGTCGAAGCCCTGGTACCTGAAGCGGGTGAGGAAACAGCACCAGCAAGAGGTACAGGGGCATCAGGAGTGTGCGAAGAGTGGTCTAAAAACAAGGCAGGGTCAGAATGGGGTGCGGTATCAAGTAGGGGCCCGGGGGTAGTGGGTTCATGGATTGGGTTCTCCATGGTTAGGTTACTCCTTTGCTTTTTGTTTTTAAGAAAAAAAAAAAAAAAAAGGAAAGAATAAAAAAAAATAAAATAAATAAAAAAAAAAAAAAGGGGGGGAGCGGGGAGGAATAGTTCCCAGGAGGAATGAAAGGGCCGGAAATCTCCCTCCGCGCCCAAGAGGACCTCAGCACCGCTAGTAGCGCAGATGCAGCATGGAACCCGTGCCATAACCTACCCTTCATACCAGTAAACAGCAATCCGGGATAGCAACCTCACATCTGCCGAGCTACCTCGGTGGACAAAAGAGAGGGCGGCCGGATATCCGCCACAAAGCATACCTCCTTCGGCCACTACCCCCGGAATCCGAAAGGTGGCTTCCAGAGATATACCCGTCGCCCGAAAGACACCCAAAACTACTCCGGGATACCGGAGAGGGATCGGGACATCCCCAGGCGATCCAGATTCCATGGCAAACTACTCCACCGCCAAGAACCTCAACGGAATGGGATGGACCCCGGTATCCTTTCCCCTACCTAGGAACTAGCGCGCCTGTGGGAGAAATCCCAAAGGCCAAAAAGGAGGGGTGGGGGGGAGGAGGAGGAAAGGAAAACGGGGAGGATGGGATAGGGAGGGGGGTAATTAGGTTCGGTCTGAGGAAGGAGACCGACAGGTCTGATTCCTCAGACCAAGAGCCTCTTCACCACAACAAGGAATCCCCCTTGAAGAGGAAAAGGATAGGTAGATGTAGCTTATTATTACAATCTGGTGAGGGGCTCTTGATCCAGGGAATTGGATCTGTGCTCCAGTTCCCCGAATTAAGCCTGAATACCTTCCACCCCCCCCCCCCCACAAGTGCTGTATAATCCTATGGGTTTAGCGCTTCCCCTTTGATTGTAATAAAACAATAATAATAATAATTGCAATCAGAACTATGCACTAAACCACAAATGTAGCTTAAATATGGTTACATTAATACCATTCAGTATTTGTTACCTTTGAAGCCAACTTAATGTTATGTTGAAGACTGGCTTTCTAAAAGCAACTTCATCAATTACCTGTTGCAGGTATTCTGTCACACCAGTGGTTTGTTTTACCTTGTAGTTCTTTATACAGTAAATGATAAGGTCTAAATACCTGTTCCAGAGCATTCTTTACAGCAATGCTTCTAGAAAGTCATGTTTTAAATATTTAACACTGTTAGAGAAAAAAAAAAATAAGAGTGAGGGTAGGTAAATGGTTTTTGGGACCTGACAAGCTGTTGGAGTGTGATAAGTGTAACATTTTGTGAAGGGACTTGGGGGAAACCAGTTAGCTGGATTTGAGTCCTGGAGGTATGAAGTACAACCTCTCCTCAATTAGCAACATACTCGTTTACTGACAACTCGGACTTACAACGGACTCTCTGACCAGTGTGCATACCTACATATATATTAGAGCCGATTTCCTCTATTCTGTTTATTACAGTATACAGTACACTACTGTATAAACATTTATAAATATACTAGAAATGTTATAAATGGTGCACAGATGACATAAAACAATATCAAAGATGGTCAACACAAACCCACTATCATTATAATATGCTCCTTGCTTAGTGATGAATTCATTTATCAACGTGGTCTTAGGAACAGAACTGTTGTTAAGTGAGAAGAGGTTGTACACACAACGCCTTCACTCTAGAGGAGGAGTGGAGATGCGTGCTGTTTGGAGGGTCATCTGAACTGTCACATCCGTGCACCTCTGGCAAGACAGTAATAGTGTGAATGATAATGAAAGTTTCTTTTCAAGCCACCCTGTCTCTGGGGAAAAAAAAATTGGAAAGCCTAAATATTGCTGGTGCATTGATGCCATTGCTGCCAATAAGTGATAATTTTTTCACCAACTAACACCATAAAATCCAAAGTTTTTATCAGAGTTTACTCGTTTTAATTTTTATTTATTTTAAAACATCGGCCTTTTCCATTGACGCAGAGTGACCCAAAAAAAAGTTTTTTTATCATTCACTCCATCACTGTCTTGCCAGAGGCACTTATACTACAGTTAAAAAAGTGCAATATATAAACACCCCTCCTTCAGAGCATAGGCAATGTACTTCCTACCCCCAGAACTCAAGTCTGGCTAACCTGCTTCCCTTCACAAATGTTACTTAGCTCACACTCCAACAGCATGTCAAGCCATAAAAACCACTTGTCTCTCCACTTGCTCCTATCTAATACTCGTGTATGCTTGCTGGAAACCCAAACCCCTCACTTATAAAACCTCCTTTACCCCTTCCATCCAACCTTTCCTAGGACAACCCCTATCCCACCTTTCTTCCAGCACAGATTTATACGCCCTCCTAAGTCCTATTTTGTTCCATCCTTCCTAAATGTCCGAACTACATAAATAACCTCTCCTCAGCCCTCTGGATAATACTTTAGAAACTGCGCCTCCTCCTAATCTCCAAGCTATGAATTCTCTACACTATATTCACACTGCCCTCAGACGAAGACATCAACACTGCCTCCAGCCTTCTTGTGTTATCGTTCACCACCTATGCTTCACACTCGTGTAAGTGTTTTTACCACTATACTCATGTTGTCTCCACAGAATCGGTTCACCTTGTCTTTCATAGACCCATCTGCTGACAAGTCCACTCCTAATTTTTTTTTTTTTTTTCAACAAGTCGGCCGTCTCCCACTGAGGCAGGGTGACCCAAAAAAGAAAGAAAATCCCCAAAAAGAAAATACTTTCATCATTATTCAACACTTTCACCACACTCACACATTATCACTGCTTTTGCAGAGGTGCTCAGAATACAACAGTTCAGAAGCATATACGTATAAAGATTGTACACAACATATCCCTCCAAACTGCCACTCCTAAATATCTGAACATATTCACTTCCTCCCTCCACTCTATTATCCAATTTTTCCATTACCTAAATTTTTCCATTACCTAAATTTTTTATCATTACCTTGCTCTTTTCTATGCTCATTTTTAATGTCCTCCTTTTGCATATCATTCCAAACTCATCCACCAACCTCTAACTTTTCAGAATCTCCCAAAAGCAGTGTTATCAGCAAAAAGTAACCATGACAACTCCCAATTTGTGTTAGATTCTCTCTCTTAAATCCACACCTCTTGCCAACACCCAAACATTCACTTCCTTTACAACCCCATCTATAAATGTATTCAACAACCCTGGTGACATGCATCCCTGTCTAAGGCCTACTTTTACCGGGAAACAGTCTCCCCCTCTCATACATACTCAAGCCTCACTATCCTTGTAAAAACTCTTCACTGCTTTCAGCAACCTAGCACCTACTCCACATATATGCAACGTTTACATCTGCCACATTGCTACCCTATCATATACCTTTTCCAAATACATAAATGAAACAAAAAACCTCTTCACTCTTATCTAAATAGTCCACCTCTATGCTTCACTGTAAACACTTGGTCTACACACCCCTACCTGCAGTTCAAACTACTGCTCTTCAAGGATCAACAGTGTAGTATTGTTAGCACCACCATACTCTCGTGCATCCTGTTTGCTTACACAGATAAACTTTTCCATAAATATTTCAACAAACCAATCACCCCCTTCCCCCATCTATTTTATAGGTCACTATCTTTCACAGAATTACTACTGTCCTGCGTGTAAAATGGACGCCTGTACTTGTTTTACATGAGGGTAGGTTTGCTGGTGTCTTCTTCTGTCTCAAACATACAAGATTTCAGGTACGTCTTGCTACTTCTACTTACACTTAGGTCACACTATACATATACATGCATTTTTTTTTTTTTTTAACATGTCAGCCATTCCCACCGAGGCAGGGTAAGAAAAAAAAAAAATCGACACTTTCACCATCACTCATATATAATCACTGTCTTTGCAGAGGAGTTCAGATACGACAGTTCAGATGTCCCTCCAAACTGCCAATATCCTAAACCCCTCCTTCAAAGTGCAGGCATTGTACATACATGTATAAGTATACATATACACACACCCCTCTGGGTTTTCTTCTATTTTCTTACCAGTTCTTGTTTAATTCCTATCTCCATGGTGAAGTGGAACAGAATTCCTCTAAGCCATGTGTGTCATAAAAGGCAACTAAACTCCTGGGAGCAAGAGGCTACTAACCTTTTCTGTATAAATTACAAAATTTTAAGAGAAACTTTCGTTTTTCTTATTGCGTCACCCTGCCTCGGTGGGATATGGCCGGTCTGTTGAAAGATGACCCGTCACAGACCCATCAGCTGACTTGTCTACTCCTAAATATCTAAATACATCTACTTTCCCCGATCTGACTTTCAAGCTATCATTCCCTACACTTTTTGTTACTCATTACCTTGCTCTTTTCTACATTCACATTTAAATTTCCCTCTTTTACATACCCTCCTGAACTCATCCACCAACCTTTGTAATTTGTCTTCAGAATCCTCTAAAATAACTGCATCATCAGCAGTGCGAATGTGATAAACTTCCTTTTTGTATCAGATTCAACATCGTTCAATCCCACATACCTTCACTATGCCTTAGTGTTTACTTTTTTCACAACCCCATCTATATTGTAAATACCATACATTAAACAGCCATGGTAACATCATGCTATCAAAAACATGTGAAAACTATTAATACAAATTAACTGTTTGGCAGGTCACATTAGCCAATATCTTCATTTTCCATAACCTGGAAAAGTGATTTTTTTTTTTAAGAATTAAGAGTTGCACATTGAAACACTATCAGGAAAAATAAAAAAAGATATAATAAAGAAACTTTTACTTTTGACAAAGGGTAAGAATATAATTTTTTGAAATATAAGATTTCTTTTACCCATTGCAACACATTTCATTGAATAAAAGAAAAGATAACTATTTCTATGGAATGAATGGTGTCTAATTAGGTTCCATCACTTTCTTTAAAATAATAAAAAATACTAGGAGTCAAAGAACTGCACTACATCAGTTACAAAAAAATCTATTTAATGCATTATTTTCAGTACAAATGTGATAAATCCTCAAATACTGAGTTGGCTCAAAGGACACTAATTAATTAATTAATTGGATGCAAGAGAACTGCAACTGCTAGGGTTATAAAATTGAATTGGGTATACACATTACTCTTTGAGGAGACTTGGTAAACAATAATCATTTTAATTAAAAATCAATCATTTAACTTTTTTTTTTTTAAATAAAGCACATGGCCTTAAATTATAAATGTAAAGTACGCACTAGAAACTTGTATATGGAGATTTCTTTTAAGTATCATGCTCTCAATGGCAACAAGACAAATGGTACCAATGAACATTGGAAATGAGAGCATGACAGACATGTGAATTACAACAGCCGATCTACCTTCTCATAGGACCACCAGGACCCCAGCCTCTCCCACCTCTGCCTCCTCGACCTCGACCACGTGCAGCTGTTTGTGATAAAACACACAACTGTTACTCTTAGAAATGACAGTACCTTGATAAAAGATGAGCAGAAACTCGAGCATGTTATTTTTCATAGTTTAGTTATACAATCTTATTTCCATGACCAAGCTCACATTTCTAAAAAGTTTCCATATCTTTGCAACATGAACCAAGCTACACAACAGGCTGAAATGTTTTAGTAATAGCCGCAGAAAAAATTACATAATTTACCTTGTGCTCTTAATATAGCCGATTTACCACTGCCTGCCGCCCCTCCTTTTCTGCCGGTCATGTTTTTGAACATGGGTGCATTCTGAAATTAATTAAAATTTGATTTATCTCAAGCTAATCTGTGAAATGTTAATTCAATTTAAAAGATTACAAGGATATATCATTGCCAATTGAGAAATTATTAAAATTTTAACCCTTTGACTGTTTCAGTCGTACATATACGTCTTACGAGCTACCGTGTTTGATGTGTATATACTCAAATTCTAGCGGCTTCAAATCAAGCAGGAAAAAACTGGTGGGCCCACATTTGAGATCAGTTTGCACCATATAAAAAAAATCCTGCAGCACGCAGTGCATAATGAAAAAAAAAAAAAAAAAAAACTCCAACCGTTTTTTAATTAAAATGCCGACTTTGTGGTCTATTTTCGTATAGAATTTATGGTTGTATTCTCATTTTCTTGGCCTCATTTGATAGAACGGAAAACATATTATAGAAATAGAGGTGATTTTGATTGGTTTTACTATGAAAAGAACCTTGAAATAGAGCTCAAATTAGGGGAAATGTTTGATTTTTGCCAATGTTCAAAAGTAAACCAATGATATCATTTTCCAATAAATGTCCAAGTAGCCATTCTAATATGCAGTCATGAATGGGTTGACATTATTTACACAATTATTACAATATTGCAGTAGTCTGCACAACAGTAAATCTTCTATTTTGTATTTTAATAAAAATTCAAAATAGAAAGCAAGAATAATATCAGAGGGGCCTGGAAACATGACTGATGAACAAAGAAAATGTTATTTTAGAGCCAGGAATGTCTGCCTTGTTCATTCTGGACCCTATTTTGAAACATTTTTTAATTTTCGTGAAATTGGCCAAAATGCAAATTTCTGACCACGTTATTGGGTAGTTGAAATCGGTAAATGGGCAGTTTCTTGTACTCATCGATAGAAAAAATGGAGTTCTAAAGAAATAGCTATGAGTCTGGTCGAATGGAACAATGGAATTAGCTGAAAATAGGGCTCAAAGTGGATAAAATCGCCGATTCATAAATATCGCCGAGGTCGCTAACTTTGTGAGAGCGTAATTCCGTCAGTTTTCCATTTTTTTTTTTTTGGTGTCATTACAATCAAGAAAAGATTCTTTATCATTTCATAATTTTTTTTTTTTTTTTAAATTTCGCGGCACCAAGAGACACCTCAGGATTTGGGGTTGCGACAGTCAAGGGGTTAAGGTTCAAGACCAAAAAATATTTAGGAGCTAAATTCAATTTGCAATCAAGACATGCTAACAGCATTATGACTGACAAAGCTGCTAACAATTTACACTGCATCAGGGTTCACTGAAGAGAACTTTAAAAACAAGAAAAACATGATAAATGGCCAGATTATAGTATGCATTCACCTTAAAATGCATCCATCAGCAAAAGACTTGATATTGTGACTAATCTGCTTTTGGTAATCAAACTTTAGTTATTAAAATAGAACAGGATTGAAAATTTATCTTCGATCATGTGGTTTAAATAAACTACATGAAGCAAAGACGACTCCAATCATTTTAAACTTGGAAGAAATGGTTTACAAGGGTAAAAATACTATCATCCTTTAACCCTTAAACTGTCCAAACGTAGATCTACGTTTGCACGCGTAGTGCTCCAAACGGAGATTTACGTTTTTTTTACATTGTTTCTTATGGAGAAAATCAAGGTCGGAGCACTACGCACCCTTAAACTGTCCAAACGTAGATCTACGTTTGGACAGTTTAAGGGTTAAATTGGTTCAATTCTATCACTGACTCAATAACATATACTTCCATAAAATTATAAATAGTTGACATTTTCCAAATAAACAGGGTGGATACCTGCATACATGAACTTGAAAGAAATTTAGAGGCCAATGGATTAAATTTTATGAATGTCAACAGAAAATTTAGAATCAGAAACCTTGTACTATACAAATCAGAGTATGTATAGGCGAGGCTTAAACGGATTGCAAGCGAGTCCTTAAACTTGCAGGCCGGTGTGCTAACCACTGCTTCATGCCAGCCTAGTAAGATCCATCCAACTAGGTTTATAAGTACCATCCGACTTACGACCACACGTCTGCCAGCATATACAGTAGTAAAATATTTACACAATGGCAACTTCGAGGGGACTTTAGTTAGAGCATGCCACAGCCTTGTTGGTGTGGAATTCACCTGTAAAAGCTTGCATTTGTGACCACAGTGGGGCCCATGCTAACATTCCCATGGTGTATAGCAATATACAGCGGACCCCCACCTTACGAACGCATCGCATTACTAGACAAGACACACAGGCAACATTTAGGCAACTTTATTCCGAAACGTTTCGCCTACACAGTAGGCTTCTTCAGTCGAGTACAGAAGGTAGGCAGGAGCAGTAGAGATGTTGCCTATGTGTCTTATCTACCAACCTGTCGGTATTGTATGCCATTTGATAATCACTGTCACACACTGCAACACAATGGCATCTTGGTACAGAAGAGAAAACACCTTGGTCAACCTTTTTAAGTGAGAATCGTTTGATCTGAGAGGGACATGACCTCCCAGTGGCTACATTCTCACTACTTCTACTACTCTGCACCTCTCCTTCCGACAGTATTTAAGTCTCAACACTGTCGCTTGATCTTCAGTTAGTTCCAGACTTTGGAATAGAACTTCTCCAGGCTGAGGGACTGACAACCTCAAATCTACGACTTCAAGGGTGATGGACTGATTACATCGTCTTCTCATCTCTACTGCTCCTGCCTACCTTCTGTACTCGACTGAAGAAGCCTACTGTGTAGGCGAAATGTTTTGGAATCAAGTTGCCTAAATGTTGCCTATGTGTCTTATCTACCAACCTGTCGGTATTGTATACCATTTGATATCACATTGTGTTACGTTAAATCTGCCATACAAAGCATTTGAATGCAAAAATTTTGCCTCACCTCACGATAAAAAACTCACCTTACGTGATTTGTCTGAGATGCGTCCCACTGTGGCCTGTGCCAGTGATTACAACCCAGATGGGGTCGCATCTATACATACATTCGGAAATTTCCCCACATTCCCCCAGTTTTTTTTTAGGGGGTAGGGGCGTCCCAAAAAGGGTTTGGAAGGGGGTAAGGGGTTTTTTGTGGGCGAGGGGCTTGGACTTCCAAGGCTGCATAGTGGTTCGTAGGAGGAAGGGAGATAAATGGGATTTGGGCCCCTGACGATTTTTGGGAGGTGAGCAGGGTAATATTAGTAAAGGGGATTCGGGAAAGGGTTATTTTTCTCAAGTCCGTGTTCAGCTCATTTGTTGTTCTGTGCTGTTGTTAGTCAGCACAGCTGTTTCAGCTGTGTGATTTTTGTAGGGGGGGCAGAGGAATGTCCGTTTCCTCCCCTCGCCCTGCTGACTCTCACACCTCACCACCTACCATACACACTCACCAGCCCACCCCTCTGCTGTGTTTTTTGCTTTTTTTTCGTGTGATTCATTCCCAGAGTGTGTACCCGAGTCCCCGGGGCCCACATAGATCAGCATGCACGTAACACACGCCACGTAATCACCCCACGTGGATCCTGACGCCCGTTGAGTGTGGGGGATGTCAAGTGAGTTCCGATTCCCCGGCAACCCGCTGTGGTCTGCTGCCCCCCCATACATTGACTCACCCACGATGCTGCCCGACTTAGACGTCACGATGTCTGCCTGATGTCACCTTGAGATGTCTGCGACGTCACCTCGCACATCACGCCTGACACACATGATGTACTTTGAGTGTTTCAGTAAATATTTCAGTATTGTCGAGGATACATGTGTGTTTTAAATTTAAATTTTCCTCTCAGCCGTCTCTCAGTGTTAGTGTACCGCATGTCGGGGGTTTTGTAGTTTCCGTGTGTCCAGTGGGGTTGAGCAGCCCTGGTAGACCACTGTGCTAAGTCCCCCCGATGTGACCGTGCATTTGACCCCTTATCCAGCTCTGAGCCCGACCCCCTCTTGTACAGAAAGCTCTTAGCTTCACTCATAGATGTTTGCAGAATCGTCCCGCTCTTTTCCCATCGAGATTTTTTTTCATTTTCACCCCAAACCCGAATGCAGTTTTTTGTAGAGAAAAAGTCGGGGGACGTTTTTAATCCTGCTATAACCCCCAACTGGGGGAAAAATACACTCGCAAGCTGCGTTGCCCTTGGGCAGGCGCTTGTAGCCTCGTGCCCAAAGTTTCAGTGAGAAGCCTGCACAAAGAAGATGCCACTTTGACTTAGCTCCTCCACGCAGTCTGGTGTTGATGTTAACGACCCCCAATTTTTTCGCCCAGTCGTCTCTGCCACGATTTGCTCCTGCTCGCGGCAGTGCAGCCCAGCGACGTACCAGTCGAGAAGTTCTCTAGTCGCTTCCCGAAGTCTCCCAGTTCCCGAGTTTGTCGACGCCTACTTGAGGGGCACCAGCATGTCTGCCCAGGTTGAGTAAAAAATGCAGCGACCCTAGATGATGCTTCCCTTTCCATAGGAAACCGTCCCCTGTTACTACAGCTCACCCGCATGATGCCCTCTGTGTTGCAGTATAGTCAGACCAGGAAAGGCGGAGGATCCCCTTCGACGTTCACTGTTTTGACCACAGTTTAGCACTCCCCCATGTTTTTTCTTCCCTCCTGTAGGAAGTTTTTTTTTCCCTGTCCAATTATAATACGTTTTTTTTGTGTTTGTGCCCTGTTCCCCAGAGGAGAGAACCCATTTTTTTTTTTTTACCAGTATTGTCACATGGGACGACGCGGTAGGTGGCCGAGCGTATGTAGACAGCCTGTACTGTCTGCACAGACATCCTATGCGTCTGCCCGTTGTTCATATTTCGACCACAAATGCTGCCCTTGTGCCGGCCTTCGGGGGGCATGCCACCTCCTGCCCTTGCCATGCTCTCACTCTGGCGTCACTCTTCACTCAGTCAAGAAGGCCACCTCTCCCCCTCCCTGGGCATGGGCCCCCCCGGGCCATGGGTAAAACACAAGCCTGTGTACCCACCCCCGACTTAACAAAGTAAGAAGCCCCGAAGACGTTTTTTTACTCCCGCTACCAAACACCAAACTCGTTTAGGTGCGTGCGTGTGTGTGTTGGTGCGCTGTGCATGTGTGGTGCCTTGTGAAAGGTGGTGCGTTTGTGTGTGGTGCTTTGTGTTGTGGTGGTGTGTATGTGGTGCGTGGTGGGCGCATTTTTGTGGGGGCTGTTGTGGGCGTGTGTGGGGCATGTGTGGGGCTGTGTGTGATGCATGTGTTTTTTTTTTTCACATGCAAACATTAAATGTCTTTAAGTAAACGGTTAATAATTCTGTGACTAGTAAGCACCACTGTATATAAATATAGCACTATTTTCTGTCATGAATCAATTCTGAGAGCCATTAATATTATGGTTACCTTCAACATGTCTGGTAAAATGAGGAAGCGAATCTTTGAGCCACGAATGAATACATTTTCCAGTCTTGCAGTCTGTCCATTGCGGTAAGTAACAGTGCATGCCTCCATCTGAAACAAATTTAACACCAATAAGTCTTAATTGATCACAAATGTAAACAATACAATGTTAGTATACAAGAATTTAATTTATAGCTACTATAATTGATGTTAGAATTTGCTGACATCACTTATGTTTAAATAAACATTTTAAATACTTTCAGTAATGTACTTGTTTTCTATCCCCTTTCATACTCTTGCTTCCATTTGTGAACAATATTTCAGTCTCTTTGATTGCCATTATCCATTTGTCATTTAGTTTTTCCATAGAATTTAAGGCCATTCTGCAAGGAGACTAAAAATACTCCACATATTAACTTAACCAAGTCTAAATTGTAATATAACATTGACTATGTGCATTATATTCATGGGGATGTGCCAAACCTACAGTTAAAGTGCCTGGAGGCAATCAGGTTTGATACAAGAGAAGGGGTACTTCAAATTAATTAGATCTACTCAATCAGCATCAAGGCTGGTGAAGAATTCTTTTAGCCATAAACAGTATAGTATGTTTTATTATACTGTATAGACTATTCCAAAGATTCAGTTAATCAAAAATGCCACTTATTTTCATATCTATTTTGATCAGCTATACTGATTGTGTATACCTGGAGAGGGTTTCAATGCTCTCGGGCCCGTCTGTGGCCGGGTCCCCCGGGTTGATCAGGGTCTATCCCCCGGGCTTTTTACTATTACCGATCGGACCAACGACAAACCAAGCCCGGGTGATCAGGTACTGTTTTTTAGGTCCCTGTCCAGCATCACTTAAAAAGAAAACCCAGGGGTCTGTTGGTAATCCCCCTTTATGTATGCGGAAAGGCAGTTGAAAAGTCTTGGGCCCCTGACACTTATTGTGTTCTTTGCTACTTGGCACCCCTCCTTTTAGGGGGGGTATTGCTTTCCCCTTTCCCCGTCTTTTGCTTTCCCTAGGGAATGATTTTTTTGGAAAATTTTGGGACTAGTCCCCTGGTTTTTCCCAAAGGGGAATCATATATTTTTTTTCCTGTTTCCCGCATTCCAGGGAATAAAATGAAGGGACTTCATCCCCCTTTCCTAGTAGTTTTGGGCTTTTCACAATTTTTGTGTGCCGTGAAAATTTTTGTGATTTTCCAGATCTGCAAATTTTACCGCCCTTTAAAGGGCCTTAAAGTACAGGGAATATTCAAGCCTAGAGAGAACAAATGTTTGAAGGAATCATCATGGGACTGGATCCCTGTTTTGAAGGTTTCAGTGTGATTTTATTGGCGATGTTTCCCTACCTCGGTTAAAATCGCATTATCCATAAGAACTAAGCGCCACTTTTCTTATACATTATAGAGTTACCCTTTCATTTTATTGACTTACCCTTTAAATCGCCTTCAAATTTTCTTTTCAATCTATTTCTACATTTGAAAAAAAACCAAGGGCCAGAAGGATCCCCAAAGTCCTCATGGTAACACAAAAATGATGACCTTGTCCAACTTTTTTATGCCGTTAAATTAAACAATGAAATCAGCAACTTTATGTTCCACCATTCCCTCCAGCAAACAGGGATGGAAGTGGGCCCAATTTTTTTTTTTTAAAACTTCCCACAGAGGAATAATTTTTTTCCAGGATGCCATTTTTGGGGTCAAGACATTCCTATGCTGAAAATCACACTATAAACCTATGAACAAAAATATTCTCACCCGTACATTTTAATCTTTGCTTTTAAGCAACTTTCCCTGTAAACTTCTCCAAGCATGGTTTCTACGTCACAGTGGTCCCTCGCCTCATGAAGCACTTTAATAGGAACCCAATCGACATCCCTTTCAACCTAAAAAGGGGAATAAATTATTTTATTTACAATTTTTTCCC